ATTTCTGTCCAGGAGTGATTTCCCCCCCTTTAAACTAATTTTCCATTCTCATGACCAGATGTAGCATTTGATGATCAAACCAGTAAAATCCCATTTGTAGCTGTTCATTTGAAGCCATCTCTCAAAGCTGAGTGAATTCATGGATGGCACGCCCATTCATTAAAAGGCATGTGGCTCATTTATGGACCCACATGGTTCTCTAATGGCTTTTCTTTCACTGTTGTTTGAAGCTGCTCGGTCGTCTTTAGAAAATATGCACAGAGCGTGTCCTTGCATCCACAGTGTAGCTGGAGGCTGTTTTGTATAGTTACCGAACATCAGAATCCATTTTCTAGGTCCCAGTCATCAGTAGATTCTTAGCTGTTCTTTTCATTTTTTCAACAACTGAGACTAAGGCTCGATTTAATGTCCAGTTTCTGATTTCTTCTAAGAGAGCTTGAATTCTAAGATGTATTTGTCACTGAGAAAATAATCTTACTTTCTTAACAAGTTTTTCATGGCCCAAGGGTTACTCATGAACATTTTGGCGAGTTTTACAAGTGATACTTTGTACAATGTCAAAAAACGATGACTTGAAAAAAAACACAACAAACCGATGACTTGGGAGAAATGACTACAACTCAGATTTCTGTTTCACCTTTTCACCTACAGGCAAGCATGTGAAAGCAATAAAACTCGAGAAAGACAATGTCTCTGGAGAGCTGTGGTAATGTGCAAGCAGTATATGAATTTCATCTTCTGCTGATTTTCTCCTGTTAGTTAACCCCAGGCAGAATTCTGCATAAATCAAAAGTGATTGATTTTGCCCAACACATATGATATGGGTCTGACCACCTGTGCAGGGGGCCCTGGGCTCTTTCACCAAACTTTCTACTTAGACTTTTGGGAAAATATCATATTTCAATAAATTTCCATTTGTTTTTGTGATATTTCACATCTAAAAGTTTTAGTAATCTTGTTAGAGTTTATTAAGTTCACCATGGCTGTAAAGCGGCTGGCTTGAGTTTTGTCAAATCTTTGCTATTTCTTAGTGCTTGAAATCCTTCCATAACTCTCCGGAGCTTTCAGGATGGACAGCCTGTTTCACGTGGACACAGGTCTTTTCTTTCTGGCCCCTGCTAATCTCCCTGCCCCTTCTCCATCCTACTATTTCTTCTCTCTGCTTCCTCTCCCACTTCCCTAGTCCAAACACACACTACTTTCTATTCTTAAGTCTATAGACCACCAACTTGTGTTCTTAGTGGCTCCACCCTTGACACATGTTTTGTCCTCTGCCTGAAACACCTTCCCCAGTAAACAGACTCCTCCCTTGTACCTGGGTAAGTTCCACCAGTCACCAGAATTCATGTCAGGACCTATTTCCTCTAGAAAACCCCTTAATGCAGGCATTCCTGGGGTCCAGGGACCCAAGGGTCTGCCAACCACTGTGGGTTCTTGACTTCATGCAAGAAAGAATTCCAATACAAGCTAGAATAGAATTTAAAGTGAAAGAGAGTTTATTAGTGAAGCAGTGAGAGTGGCTACTCCATATACAGAGCATCCCCTCCCTAGTGGGATTTACTTCTTTCGTTGAAGTTCATTTAATCGGGTGGTAGGGCATTCAATAAGCGGGGAGAGGAATATTCAGGATCTTTCTGGGAAAGGGGTGGAGATTTCTGGTAAGAACCCCAGCAACCACGTTGTGTCCTTATATAGGCTTCAGGCGGCTGCAGGGTGTGTCGGATAGCATGCTAATGTATTACAATGGGATATAAGGAGGTTAGGGGTCACCATAAGGGACAAAAAAAAAAAAAAAAAAGACACCGAATAGCTGCAGCAATCTTGAGAAAGAAGAACAAAATAGGAGAGATCACAACACCAGATATCAAGCTATTCCACAAAGCCACTGTAATCAGAACAGCCTGGTACTGGCACAAGAACTGGCATATAGAACAATGGAACAGAACAGAGAACCCTGAAATCTACCCAAGCCATTATGCTCAGTTAATATTTGGCAAAGGAGGCAAGAGCATACAATGGAATCAAGACAATCTCTTCAATAAATGGTGCTGGGAAAATTAGATAGGTACATGCAAAAAAAAAAATTGAATCTAGACCACCAACTTACACCATACACGAGAATAAACTCAAAATGGATAAAAGACTTAAATGTATGTCATGAAACCATAAAAACCCTAGAAGAAACCATGGGCAGCAAAATCTCAGACATCTCTCATAGCAACATGTTTGCCAATAACATCTCCTAGGGCAAGGGAAACAAAGGAGAAAATAAACAAATGGGACTACATCAAAGTAGAAAGCTTCTGCACAGCAAAAGAAACCATCAACAAAATGAAAAGGGAGCCCACTGTATGGGAGAACATATTTGTCAATGATACATCTGATAAAGTGTTAATATCCAGAATATATAAGGAACTCATACAACTTAACAAAAAGAAGACAAACAATTCAATTTAAAAATGGGCAAAGGACCTAAATAGATACTTCTCCAAAGTGGACATACAGATGGCTAAGAGACACTATGGAAAACAGTATGGAGTTTCCTCAAAAAATTAAAAATGGGCCCACCCAGCTTGGCTAAGTGGTTGAGCATTGACCTACGAACCGGGAGGTCACGGTTCAATTCCAAGTTAGGGGACATGCCTGGGTTGTGGGCTCAATCCCGAGTAGGGGGTGTGCAGGAGGCAGTCAGTCATCTAAAGACATTTTCAGCTGACACTACTGGAGGGGTTGGTGCTGCTGGTGTCTGTAGGTAGAGGCCAGGGATGCTTCTAAGCATCCTACAATGCACATGACAGCCTCCAACAACAAAGATTTATTTGGCTCAAAATATTGCTCATGTAGAGGTTGGAAAACCCCATTCAGAGGTTGAGCATGACTTATAAATCCCCAAAATTAATTCCATTAGAGGATGAAAAAATTGTCCCTTCAAGAAAAAGTAGCCCGGCCGGCATGGCTCAGTGGTTGAGCATCAACCTATGAACCCAGAGGTCACTGTTCAACTCCCGATCAGGGCACATTGCTGGGTTGTGGGCTCAATCCCCAGTGTGGGGTGTGCAGGAGGCAGCTGATCAATGATTCTCTCTCATCATTGATGTTTCTATCTCTCTCCCTCTCCCTCTCTGAAATCAATAAAAATATAAGTTTTTTTTAAAAAGAAAAAGTAAAGAATAAATTCATCCTTGATTTGGTGTTCTCAGCTAATGACATGTCAGACACCATCTCTTTGTAGCTCTTAACTGAACAACCAAGTTGGTAGGAGGCAGACCACGAGGGAAAACAGCAAGGTTATTTAACTTCCCGACCTTGACTCAGATGTTATTAACTTGCATAAGATCCAGCCCTGCAGCAGAAAGCACGTGGTAAAATGTACATTCCTTGTCTGTTAAACAGCCCAGGAAACATTTTACAGTGCATTTAATATGCGTATGGAAGCAACCCCAGCCCTCCATAAAATGTACAACTCAAGTCTTCTTCCAGGATCTGCTAGCAACCCTGTCCCATCCTAGGCCAGTGAGTAGGTAAACTTGCAGTGAGCTTCATCCGTGGCCCAGAATACTTAGGGGCACTTGGTGACAGGGCTCACTTGGTCAAGAATCAGCAAACTACAGCCTGCAAGCCAAGGCTGGTGGGCATCTGTTTTTATGTGGCTTGTGGCTAAAGCTAAATCAAAAAAAGTGTACTATTGCCCAACTGGCATGGCTCAGTGGTTGAGCGTCAACCTATGAACCGGGAGGTCACAGTTTAATTCCAAGTCAGGGCACATGCCTGGGTTGCGGGCTCGATCCCCAGTAGGGGGCATGCAGCAGGTGGCCAATCCATGATTCTCTCTCATCATCAATGTTTCTATCTCTCTCTCCCTCTCCGTCTCTGAAATATATACTTTGTGTGTGTGTGTATGTGTGTGTGTTTGTGTGTGTGTAAAGTATAATATGCTAATTAGACCGGACATCCTTCAAAGACGACCTTCCGGATGAAGCTGCGAGGGAAGCCCAGGTCCTGGTGCCTGCCGGCAGCTGGAGGAAATCCCGGGTCCCGGGTGCCAGAGGGCAGCCGGGGAAAGGAAGGCCTACTCTTGCATGAATTTCATGCATCAGGTCTCTAGTATATAGTAAGAGGGTAATATGGTAATTAGACCGGACGTCATTCCAGACATCCTTCCTGACAAAGTCGGGGCTGGAGGGAAGCCAGCCTGGATCCCGAGTGCCTGCAGGCGGTCCGAGGGAAGCCAGCCAGAGGAAGGAAGCCCGGGTCCCAGGTGTCAGAGGGAAGCTGGTGCTGGCAGCCGGGAGAAGGAAGAAGGAAGGCCTACTCTTGCACAAATTTATATATAGAAATAAAGAGTTTAGCAAATTGTGTTTCCAGGAGGCGAAGAGGAAGGAGAAGGCAGCTGGGCTGTCATCCCTGACACTGCTCTGCTGGGGCGGGGCCTCTTCTCCACTGGGCTGGAGTTTCCTCATCTATAACATGGGAGGGCTTGGCTGAGGGTTCTCTAGAGCCTTCCAGCACTTACTGGCCTATAGTGCACCTTCCAGTTTCCTCAAGCGGCGCCAGGTGGCCAGTGGGGTAAAAGTGCAGTGCTCTTGTCTGGGACAGAGCCGAAGGGCCAGGGAGTCACATTGCCACCCTCGGCTCGGAAACAGTCACACACCCGAGTAGCCGCTGTGTCTGTGCCAAGCAGACTTAGGAATCGGTGCCCTGTGAGGTTCAGGAACATAGACTTTTGGCCACTTTCGTGTGCCCTAGTTTTCTAGATTATGTAACCCAATTCTTTTAACCCTAGGAAAGGAGGAAATGGATGACACTAATTACTGGGGAAGGCTGGCAAGGGATGGTAGCACAGACTGGCCACCCAAAATTCAGGTTTTCAAAGTCAAATGGGCAGGTTTGTTGAAATTAACCAGGTAACTGACATCTCTGCTGCTCATCTAGTAGCAGGGAAGGGTCTCTGTTGCCCTTTCTGTTTTTTTCAATACTAACATGTGGCTCTTTGTCTGTAGTCCAAGGGGTCACGGGTTGTCGGCACTCCAGCCCGGGCTCTGTCGCTATGGAACCAAACTGGCTTGCTGCTACGGCTGGAGAAGGGGCAGTAAGGGAGTCTGTGAAGGTAACTTTGTAAAAAATCAGGCCACCATGTGCTCAAGCAGTAGCTCAGGATCTTTAAGTTATTATTACTATTTCTTTTTATTTTTTAATTGATTTCAGAGAGGAAGGGAGAAGGAGAGGGAGATAGAAACATCCATGATGAGAGAGCATCATTGATCGGCTGCCTCCTGCACGCCCCACACTGGGGATAGAGCCCGAAACCCGGGCATGTGCCCTGACCGGGAATCAAACCGTGACCTCCTGGTTCATAGGTCGACTCTCAACCACTGAGCCATGCCGGCCGGGCTTTAGGTTTTTATCTGTGACACCATGAGCTGTGGGGTCCCCAGCAAAGGGACATGGATAGCTGTCAACACCCAAGCTCTTAGGTTCCTGTGAGACCTCTTCCCACCCAAAATGTGACTGACACCATCAACCTAGACGTGGTTTGTTAGGAGACCTGCCTTGTCACTTATTTCTGTTGCTATCTTAGTGAGCATGCCCGGGTGGCTTGTTGTTGTTTTAATCAGGAGAAACTGAGTTGGACAAAAATAGGTCAAGAAGTACCTCCTTCCAATTATAATTTTTTACAATTGATTTCTAATGATACACACTTTTAAATTATGAATCACGCAACCAGTAGACTTCAGTCACAAATGTGAAAGTAAGCCACTTACTTTATAATTTTGTTACATTTTTAAAAATTTCTTTATTGATTAAGGTATGACATATGTGTCCTTATCCCCATCAAAAATAGACCACATATTGGGTCACAAGCAAAGTCTCCCCAAATTCAAGAAGATTGAAATCATATCAAGCATCTTCTCAGACCACAATGGCATAATATTAGAAATAAACTACAATAAAAACAATCCAAAAAATTCAAACGCTTGGAAGCTGAATAGCATGCTATTAAACTAATGTTAGTCACATTTTGAAAGTCCATGGTGCCAATTTCTAGATGGTTTCAAGGTATACATGTGTATATGCAAAGATGTTAAGTATTTTTGGATTCTCTGTACAACTTTCATACCAAGGAACCATAATTTGCCTTGGTCATTGTTTCTCAGGCCATGCGTTAGGAAAAGGCCTCTAATCATTTCAAGAGGGTTGGGGAAGACAGGGATTTATGTAGAGTTTTGTGGTGTTTGTTTTTAATATGACTTTCTTTTTTGCATTAATCCTCACCAGAGGATACTTTTTCCCCATTGATTCTAGAGAGAGTTAAAAGGAGGGAGCTGGGAGAGAGACAGAGAGAAGCATCAATGTGAGACACATTGATTGGTTGCCTCCTGCACATGCCCTGGCACAAGCCAGGATCAGGCCTGCAACCCAGGTACGAGCCCTTGACCAGGAATTGAACCCGGACCTTTCAGTCCGCAGACCGGTGCTGTAACCACCGAGCCAAACCGGCCAGGGCTATATGACTTTCTATCATAATGAACACTCTCAGTGTGAGGAATCAAATCTGCGTTCATTCCTCCCAGCTAACTGAGCTGGGGTGTACTACTTTGTGGTAGGAGTCTGGTTTCACTGTTCTTGTGTCCCTAGGTGGCATATGCCTGAACCTCAGTGTTTTATCTGTTAAATGTTAAAAAAGCAAGTAAGTGCAGAGGGCTCAAGAAAAATACTCACTATGCACATTTGGCAAGCTGAAGAGGTTGTCAGCACTCTCACGGCCCCAGTCGAATGTTCAGGTTAATACCCTTGCCATGATTTTTATATCTAAGATCTATATTTTAGCCAGGCTGGTGTGGCTCAGTGGTTGAGCATCAACCTATGAACCAAGAGGTCACGGTTCTATCCCCATCAGGGCACATGCCTGGGCTGGGGCTTGTTCCCCAGTGTGGGGCCAATCAATGATTTTTCTCTCATCATTGATGTTTCTATCTCTCTTCCCCTCTCCCTTCCTCTCTGAAATCAATAAAAGCTTATTTAAATAAAATAAAATCTGTATTGTATTTTATCCAATTTGCATGGTCCTTCTTGATAGTAAAGTCATATGCTCCTTGAAGCACCAAATAACAGGGTGGTTAGTCTCTGATTGCCAGGTCTCTGATTTCTAAGCCAGAGTGTGGTCTTTGTGGTCATGGGACAAGAACACAGAGTTAGACCCCGGTCTGTGAGGTCCCAGTCTACCTTGGCCTTCACCTCCTTCCATCTCTTCACCCTCATTCCATTCAAGGCCCTGCCTCAGTGCCCGAGCTTTTTAGATCTTGACCGCTGCCCTGCCTAAATCTGTTCCCTGGGCAGGGTCTGCTTAACTCCATATCATTAACCAGATGTATATGTCGCTTAGCCAGATGTTGAAGTCATTAATGAAAAGCTACATATAGCGGAGTTTCAGGAACAATTGAACAAGAGAGCTTTACTTTCTCTAAAGCCCACTAGAATCTCAGACCATCTACACTAATAAAAGAGAAAGATGCAAATTGACCATACCTCCGCAACACCCACCAGCCAATCAGGCGTGAGTATGCAAATTAACCCAACAAAGATGGCGGGTTAATTTGCATGTGCAGGCACCGAGCAGCCAGGGTTGGGGCAGGATGCTTGCATCATTGTGGCGATGACGTAGGGGTTCCACACCGTCCCAGCTGCTCAGGGCCTCTGGGCAGCGTGGGAAGGCAGAAAGGCGGCTCTGGCCGGATGGAGGGCGGTGCAGGCATCCAGGGGAAGGAAGGCCCATTCTTGTACGAATCTTCGTGCATCGGGCCTCTAGTTTTAGGCAAACTGAATGTTGCTGTGGATTGGCTATTCAAATCACAGATCCAAAGTTACTGTAAATGGAAATATCTTTTGGGAGCTTTGACCTTATGGCAGCAAGAGTCTTATTCACCATTGCTAGTTCCCAAGAAAACACTTTGCAGTGTGTTAAAGGGGGAAACGAACCAGAGAAAAAGCAGATCATCCTCTAAATGTCCCCACGGATTTCTCTGCCATAGACAAGGTGGCTGAGTTTGACATGCGTACATTTCACTGTGCTAACTACTCCTGTTTTTTTTATCATTAAAACACCTTTTTCTTTCCACAGCTACATGCGAACCTGGCTGCAAGTTCGGTGAGTGTGTGGGACCAAACAAATGTAGATGCTTCCCAGGATACACCGGGAAAACCTGCAGTCAAGGTCAGTGGAACAGAACAGGGTCCAAGTCCAAACCTACCCCAGATCTTTCAAAAGCATTTTCATCGTTGCAGTGGGATTTGTGACATGATGTAGTGCTCAGGATTTAACTCCAATCTTCAAATGAAAGTGGCCTCAGGCCCTAGCCAGTTTGGCTCAGTGGATAGAGCTTTGGCCTGCGGACTGAAGGGTCCCAGGTTCGATTCCAGTCAAAGGCACATGCCTGGGCTGCGGGCTCGATCCCCAGTAGGGGGCGTGCAGGAGGCAGCTGATCAATGATTCTGAAACATCAGAATCAGATGTTTTTACCTCTCTCTCCCTCTCTGAAATCAATAAAAATATATAAAAAATAAAAAGAAAGTGGTCTCAGAACTAGAATTTTTAGTCAATCTCCTCTCCCAGAAAAATGTAGAAGTCATTTTGATGCTTCTGTCAAGATGCCAAATAAAAGGTCTTTTTCTCTAAACAAATAGTTTTATTGTGTTTTCAAGCTACTGAAGTAATGCATATTTTTCACTAAAGAAAACAGTGCCAAAGGATATAAATTAAGAAGTAAGCCCTGGCTGATGTGGTTCAGTGGTTGAGCATCATCCCATGCACCAAGAGGTCTCAGGTTTGATTCCCGGTCAGGGCACATGCCTGATTTGCAGGCTCGATCCTCAGTAGGGGGCATGCAGGAGGCAGCTGATGGATGTTTCTCACTCTCTCCCTCTCCCTTCCTCTCTCTGTCTCTTAAATTAATAAAAAAATATTTTTAAAAAAGAAGTGAGTGTCCAGCCCTGACCAGTATGGCTCAGTTGGTTGAGCATCGTCCCATGCACCAAAAGGTTGCCAGTTCAGTTCCTGGCCAGGGCACATGCCTGGGTTGCAGGCTCCATCCCTGGTAAGAGGTGTGCAGGAGGCAGCTGGTTGATGTTTCGCTCTCACATAGATGTTTCTCTCTCCCCCTCTCCCTTCCTCTCTCTGTAAAGTCAATAAAAATATATTTTTTAAAGTAGGTGTCCACCCCCAGTCCCTACTCTTGCCATAGTTAAGTTTGTGCTAAGTCCCTCAGGCCTTTTCTGTGATAGAACCAACATCAGTATCTCTCATGGGCATCTCCCGTGTCAGCACATACACAGCTGCCTCACGCTTTTTAAGCCTGTATCCTAGTCCTTAGTGTGAACACTTTTACCATTTATGTAAAAAATACTTTAATCACTATCATAAGTTGTTTCCAATTATTTGCCTTCATAAACAATGCGGAAGCAGACATCATTCTATGCATGTCCTTGCACCCTGCATGGGTGCAAGGATATGCTTAGAAGAATAGGATAAATTCTAAAACTGGAATTGTTGGGTTGATAATGTACATATTTTTTATTTTAATGGACATATTTTAAAAGGCATTTTGCGACTTTTGTCATGGGCTGTTTATTTGAAGAGTTTATTTATAATATTGAGAACAGCAGTTTTCAATCTGTATAATGTTGTTCCCCAGGAAGATTTGCCAGATAAAAATACAGATCCCCAGTTAGATTTTAATTTCAGATAAACAACAAATAATTTTATAGCGTACTTAATATTGAATGGGATGTGAGTATACTAAAAAAGTTTTTTTAAAAATATATTTCTTTATTGATTTCAGAGAGGAAGGGAGAGGGAGAGATAGAAACATCCATGATGAGAGAGCCATTGATCGGCTGCCTCCTGCACGCCCCCCACTGGGGATCAAGCCCACAACCTGGGCATGTGCCCTTGGCCGGAATTGAACCTGGGACCCTTCAGTCCACAGGCCAACGCTCTATCCACTGAGCAAAACGGGCTAGGGCTATACTAAAAAGTTTAATCATTTATTTAAAATTGAAACTTAACTGGGCATCCTGTATTTTTGTTGTTGTTGTTTATCCTCACCCAAGGATATTTTTCCTTTGATTTTTAGAGATAGTGGAAGGGAGAGGGGGAGAAGAGAGAGAGAGAGAGAGAGAGAGAGAGAGAGAGAGAGAGAGAGAGGCATCGATGTGAGAGAGACATATCAATTGGTTGCCTCCAGTACGCACCCCAACTGAGACCAGGGACCGAACCTGCAACCCAGGTATATGTCCTTGGCCAGGAATCAGACCCGAGAACCTTTGGTGTGCAGGCCAACATTCTAACCATTGAGCCACACCATCCAGGGCATCCTGTATTTTTATTTGCTAAATCTGGGAACCTTACCCCAGGGGACATCTGAACACATTTGAAGGGGTTACTACGGTCATCTACTGGGTGGAGGCTAGGGATGCTGCTAAGAGGCTACAGCGCACAGGGCAGCCCCCTACAAAGAAGAATGATCTGACCCAGATGTCAGCAATGCTGAGGTTGAGAAACCCTGGCGTGAGGAAACTTGCCATAATTCAGGTAGGGTCCCTGGTTCTCAACCTGGGCTGCACATTAGAATCACCTGGGAATCTTCTTAAAATCCTGATTTCTGGGCCTCATCCTCCGAGGCCCAGCTACCCTCATCCGAGGATAAAGCCCAGAAATCAGGATTTTAAGAAGATTCCCAGGTGATTCTAATGTGCAGCCAAGGTTGAGAACCATTGTTCTATAACTCAGTTGAGCAAAGAGCAGCAAATCAAGTTCAGCTGCCCTCGAGAATAGGGGGCCAGTGTTCTGGAAGGAGGATGAAGTTCCAGAGCAGGGCAGGCACCCCCTTCGCTCCCCATGCCCAGCCCAGCGCCAATGCAGAGCGGAGCTTCTCCACTGCAACAGCCTTTCTTAGAGCTGCAGCCTCAGGGGGAACCTCTGACTCTCTCACATTCTCTACCAGCACAGAAGCCAGTTCCCGAAGCCTTAGGGCCTATGGTGTTTCCTAGAACCGGGTCCAGCTGCTTGAGAGAGCTGCATCAAGCATCACACTCTCACCCTGGCTGGTGTGGCTCAGTGGATAGAGCGTCGGCCTGTGAGCTGAAAGGTCCCCGGTTTGATACCAGTCCAGGGCACATGCCCAGGTTATGGGCTCAATCCCCAGTAGGGGGCATGCAGGAGGCAGCCCATCAATGAATCTCTCTCATCATTGATGTTCTATCTGTTTCTCTTTCTCCCTTCTTCTCCGAAATCAATTTAAAAAAAAAAGAGGGGGGAAACCACACTCTCGCCCTAGTCGGTGTGGCTCAGTGGATAGAGCGTCGGCCTGTGGACCGAAGGGTCCCGGGTTTGATTCCGGTCAAGGACATGTACCTCGGTTGCAGGCTCCTCCCCAGCCCGGGTCCTGGTCAGGGCTTGTGCAGGAGGTAACCAATCGGTGTGTTTCTCTCACATCGATGTTTCTCTCTGTCTTTCCCTCTCTCTTCTACTCTCTCTAAAAACCAATGGGAAAATATCCTCAGGTGAGGATTAACAACAACAACAAAAGAATCACACTCTCGCCTGGCCGGTATGGCTCAGTGGTTGAGCATCGACCTATGAACCAGGAGGTCAGGGTTCCATTCCCGATCAGGGCACATGCCCAAGTTGCAGGCTCAATCCCCAGTGGGGGGTGTGCAGGAGGCAGCCGATCCATGATTCTCTCTCTTCGATGTTTCCACCTATCCCTCTCCCTTCTTCTCTCTCTCAAAATCAACAAAAAACATTTTTATTTTTTTTTAAGAATCATGCTCTCATAAGTAAGAATTCATCTGTATCCCTTAGTAGGGTCTTCACACCAGGAAGCCGCACTTCCCAGATGTCTTGGATTCTGTACCAAGATGCCTTCTAAGAGATTTGGAACAGAGAAGCTATTTTTCATGCTGGTTTTCAAGTCCTAGTAAATATTCAGATTGAAGGAGCTGTCCAGTTGGCTCAGGTTCGAGACGGCCTGTCTTCCCCACAGCCTCCCTGTGCCGGGACAGCCTAACCGGAGTCTATATGTGAATATCCATGAATGGCAACATGCCCCAGCCCTCCACCGATGTGTTTCCCAAAAATGCTTCTTCCAAGAGACTCTGGGTGCATCACCTCTGGGTTAGGGCCAAGTGATGGGTGTTCCTGGATTTGCCATTAAGTCCAATCAGTGTTCTCCGACTCCCCCTTTTGAAGCAGTTAAGGTTTGTGCAGGAGATGGTAGGGTGCAGGGGACAGGCAATGGACAAGGGCCTTTATAATGTCCAACTAGGGCATCAGAAAATCCCAATGTGTCTTAGCCGGTTTGGCTCAGTGGCTAGAGCGTCAGCCTGTGGACTGAAGGGTCCCAGGTTTGATTCCAGTCAAGAGCACATGCCCGGGTTGCAGGCTCAATCCTCAGTAGGGGGCGTGCAGGAGGCTGCAGATCAATGATTCTTTCTCATCATTGATGTTTCTATCTCCCTCTCCCTTCCTCTCTGAAATAAAATAAAAAAAGAAAATCCCCATGTAAGGTTCTTTTCAGAGGCGAAGGCATCTGCTTATTTTCCACAATGCAGTTTGCCTGCTGCCACGCGGAATGTTTGTCCTACAAGGAACGTGGTGATGCTCATCTTCCTTGAAGGGGTTAAGCCACGAGGCACCCACGTGACAGCATTTCTAAACACAATCTCCCTTGCCCAGGATCACTTTCAAGCTTTGTTTTCCTTCTGTATCACTTTTCTTGTAGTAAAGTTATTTATTCTTTTTAAAATATATTTTTATTGATTTCAGAGAGGCAGGGAGAGGGAGAGAGATAGAAACATCAATGATGAGAGAGATTCACGGATCGGCTGCCTCCTGCACGCCCCACACTGGGGAATCGAGCTCACAACCCGGGATGTGCCCTTGACCGGGAATCGAACCGTGACTTCCTGGTTCATTGGTCAACACTCAACCACTGAGCCACACCAGCTGGGCAAGTTATTCATTCTTAATGTTCAGAATTCTTTTAGTAAACACTGAAAAGCACAGAGAAGAAAGTCACCCTCCATCTCACCATCTGGAGATAACCATCATTAGCATTTGAGCACAGCCTCCCAGGCCTTTTGTTTCTATGCATTTTTTTACACATATTTTATTGATTTTTTTACAGAGAGGAAGGGGGAAGGATAGTTAGAAACATCGATGAGAGAGAAACATCGATCAGCTGCCTCCTGCAAACCCCCAACTGGGGATGTGCCCACAACCAAGGTACATGCCCTTGACCGGAATCGAACCTGGGACCCTTCAGTCCGCAGGCTGATGCTCTATCCCAGTGATGGCGAACCTTTTGAGCTCGGCGTGTCAGCATTTTGAAAAATCCTTAACTCTGATGCCGTGTCACATATAGAAATTTTTTGATATTTGCAACCATAGTAAAACAAAGATTTATATTTTTGATATTTATTTTATATATTTAAATGCCATTTAACAAAGAAAAATCAACCAAAAAAATGAGTTTGCGTGTCACCTCTGACATGCGTGTCATGGGTTCGCCATCACTGCTCTATCCACTGATCCAAACCAGTTAGGGCTCTATGCATTTTTATTTTATATATTTGTTTGTTAATCCTCACCTGAGGATATTTTTCCATTGATTTTTAAGAGAGAGTGGAAAGGAGAGGGAGAGACAGAGAGAGAAACATCGATGTGAGAGAGACACATCAATTGGTTGCCTCCCGCATATGCCCCAACCAGGGCTTGGGATCAAGCCTGCAACCAAGGTACATGCCCTTGACTGGAATTGAACCCAGGTCCCTTCAGTCCACCGGCTGATGTTCTATCCACTGAGCCGAACCGGCTAGGGTTTATATTATATTTCTTACAAGTTTGGCATTGATCTTTATAGGTGATCTCGCAATCTTCTGTTCTCATTGAACAACATTCACTGAACATCTTTGCATTACCCAGTCCCACATCTGGATGTTTCCGGATTCAGGGAACCTTTCTCGTGTTCTAACCACCCCCTGCAGATGTGAATGAGTGTGGAGAGAAACCCCGGCCATGCCAACACAGATGTGTGAACACACATGGAAGCTACAAGTGCTTTTGCCTCAGTGGCCACATGCTCATGCCGGATGCCACATGTGCCAGTAAGTGTCAACAGCCATGCTGCTGTTAGTCAACCTTTTTTGGCTTACCTTTTGCCATTTGATGCTTGGAGGAAAGTTGACTTGAGTGATTTAAAAGCAAACAAACAAACAAACAAACAAAAACACCGAAAAATCTCTAACATCACCCCAGGCTAAAACATCTTTGAGTAATTTTTTAAAAATTGTGGTAAAATAGCCGAAACCGGTTTGGCTCAGTGGATAGAGCGTCGGCTTGCGGACTGAAAGGTCCCAGGTTCGATTCCGGTCAAGGGCATGTACCTGGGTTGCGGGCACATCCCCAGTGGGGGATGTGCAGGAGGCAGCTGATCGATGTTTCTCTCTCATCGATGTTTCTAACTCTCTATCTCTCTCCCTTCCTCTCTGTAAAAAATCAATAAAATAGATTTTTTTAAAAAAAATTGTGGTAAAATATATATAACATAGAATGCACCATTTAACCATTTTTAAATGTACGGTTTAATGGCATTTTACACATTCACAATGTTGTATAACTATCGCCACCAATTCCAGAACATCTTCACCCCAAAATGGAAACCATCCTTAAGAGTCACCCCCATTCCTCGGACGACAACACATCTGCTTTCTGTCTCTATGGATGTGGCTATTAAATAAAAAGAGTAGCTGAGGAACAAAATAAATTCTGTATCTCTATATATGCAGGGATGTATTGGATTTCTTCACGAAAATAAACATGTTGGCTAGAATAAGCATATTGTTTCAGGAAGGTGATAAATTTAAATTCCATCTTGGGATATCAATCCCACCAGCTACCTTTCTCATGCCCTTTGCCCCAGGCTCAAAGATTAGTAACTCTTGTTGCAAATACACTCTGATTCACATTCCTGGAAAGAAAAGCCCTTCTGTGATAAAGAGAAACCCACGTCCTGTGGGAGGGTGAGAGTCTATATCCATTCATTTACTGAGAAGGAAAGCTTTTCAGGTTTGATGTTGCAGCTAAAAGGTAAACCCATCCTCCTTGCCTGCCTCCCATCCTCCCTCCCCTCTTCCCATTTCTCTTTCCACTGCCCTGCAGCCCCCAACAAGCCTGGGGCCTGTGCCTTCTGCCAGCTTCCTGTGGTGGCAGAGTGTGGGGACTCCCCAGCCTGTTGTAAAATCTTGGCTAATGCACGGCTCACTGCTCCCCTGGCTTACCCTTGGGCTGTCCCCTCCTGGCGAACTGCCCCAACACCACCGCTCATCTAGATTCTCCCTTAGCCAGCAAGCTGAAGAGATAGAGCAGGCATTCAAGAGGCTTTTTTAAAAAATCCTTACTGTTATAAATTAAACAGAAACCCACCAGAGACAAATACCTAGCTTAATGACTTCTTATATGGTGAGCACCCATGTAACTACTTACCAAATAGAACTTCTCCAGAACCCCCCCCCCAACCCCCACTCGTGGGAGCCACTAGTTGGGCTTTTATAGTAATCACTTAACATTTCTGAAAAGATACATGCTAATGGATGTTTCTAAAACATTCCATGAAGGCCCAGTCAGTGCCAAAAGAGATATCTTTCTCCAAATGGCAAGATAGGATTAGGTAATTTTGAAGATTAATTTTAAAAAGCGACAACTAAAGAGAAGGAAGAGTAAACTAGAAAGATAACCATCCGTGGGTGTTTGTTACATTACCTTGGCCTGTGTATCTGGCCCTGCCCCCTCTTTGTCTATTTCTATGTATGTAACTGTTGCCTGGGCCTCTCTGTTTATAGCTCAGCGTGTCCGGGTGGCCCCGAGCGCTCTCCTGGAGGCTGATTGTATTGCACCTGGCTCCTTGCAGTCTCTTGTGTAGCTGGGTGATTGGCATGCCATGGATGGGGTGGATGAAGGGAGCATATGCGCCATGCTCTCCTGTTGTAGAAGCTTATGATCCACACATACTGGACTCCTGCTGAGGAAAGGCATTTTTGTGAGATAAGTTATGTTTAGCAATGAGCGACAGAAAAATCCAGCTAAATCATCTTATTTGCTAAAATAGCCAGAGGCAGGCCGTTTCACAACCGCTCAACAGTGCACAAAATTCGTGCAAGGGTAGGGTCCCTGCTAGCTGCTAGCTGCTGGCTACTAGCTGCAGTCTCTGCCATCGTCAGGGTATTGATTTCATTCTCACACTTGTTGCCTCAGAGTCACAATGTGGCTGCCGCAGCTCCAGACATCGCACATACATTTAAGGGAGGCAAGACAAAGAGGAAAGGAGTGACGCCAGTGAATGAACACCTCTGTCATGACTGTCCCTTTTATCGTACAGCAGCACCTTTTCCAGAAATCCCACTCCCTCCAGCAGACTCATCTGTACATCTCTTTGGCCACAACTGGGTGACATGATCACTCCTCTTTGCTGCAAGGGAAACTGGGAAAAAGACAAGTATCTGTTAATATAAAGAGAAAAGCGGGCCCAGAATGGCTAGCAGCCAATCAGTTTTATCTGCCACATGTTTTAAAACTGGTACCTAAAAGACCAAGTCTCATATCTCGAGCGACTCTCTCATTGAGGCTAGACATGCATGGAGAGCTTGTCTAGAATGGCTTCTTCTGCCCTAATTACTCAGATTGATCACCTGCATCAGAGGTTGCATTTCCACCCTGTAGAGAGCAGCCGGGTGACATAAAGAAGTGATTAGAGCTCAGGCAGGCGGAGAGGCAGATGCAGCCTGGTAACTGAGGGGTGCATGTCCTACCCAAAGACAGTCAAATTCAACACACTGGCCATCGAAACAGACCATGCAGCCACCAAGGCACTGCCCTGCCCAGATTCCATTTGGGTCTCAAACAACGAAGCTTATCCTATAACTAGAGGCCCAGTGCACGAAATTCGTGCAAGGGTAGGGTCCCTGCTGGCTGCTGGCCGGGGCCTGCCTTCATTCTGCAGCACCCCCTGGTGGTCAGTGCACGTCATAGCAAGCAATTGAACTCCCAGTCAGTCTAACTCCCGGTTGGTCGAACTCCCGAGGGGACACTCTGCATATTAGGCATGTATATAGATTCCATTCCACGTGTTACATGTAACACCCCAGAACTCTGAGGTGGTTTCTCAGTAAGCAATATTTAGCATCTCGGGAGGAGGCTAACCCTTGCCTACTTTTCCAGACTCTAGGACGTGTGCCATGACATACTGCCAGTACAGCTGTGAAGACACAGAGGAAGGGCCACGGTGTCTGTGTCCGTCCTCGGGACTCCACCTGGCCCCAAATGGAAGAGTTTGCATCGGTAAGGCAGCAGGCATCACCTCCATGCCCCATCCCCTGCCCTTGACTGATCCCTTTACTCAATTCCTCCTTTTTCTTTTTTTTAACTTTAAATATTATATATATATGTATATATATACATATATATATATCTTTATTGATTTCAGAGAAAAGGGAGAGAGAGAAACATCAATGATGAGGATCATTGACCAGCTGCCTCCTGCACGCCCCCTACTGGGGATTGAGCCCACAACCCAGCATGTGCCCTTTACTGGAATCAAACCCAGAACCCTTCAGTCTGCAGACCGATGCTCTATCCACTGAGCAACACCAGCTAGAGCTCAATTCTTCCTTTTTCACTGATACAATCTTGGTGACTAGACATCGCAAGCTCCTAAAAGTACAGACTTATGTCCGGCTCTGAGACAACATTGTTACCCACATATGCTCTAGACTTTGGGATGCTAGAAAGAACATTTCTCTATTATTTGGGGATTGCTTAATGCCATAGTGTAAAAAAAAAAGAAAGTTTTCTTTTAGTATATTTATCCTGCACATGTTACTTCGGCCACCAAATTGCATATCCTCATAGTATTGTACTGAATTATATTGCACCAAATATACATAATATTCAGAGCAAGGAGCACAGAGCATTAATAAGCCATGTCAAACCAAGTCAAAACATTGAAAAAGTTATTAATCTTGTTTATTTAAATAAGGAAATATCAGCCTGATTTAATATTCTTAATTCCTTACTACAATAGAAATATTTTTCACTCAAGGTGCTGGATGTTTATTTATTGTAAACATACATAACTTGATAAACTGCATTTAAAAAGCTCAGCCAAAATAGTTCCTACCTCAGTTAAACACTTTTTAAAAATCATGTAAATTAAAAATTTGGCTCTGCTCTTTGAGAGTAATCAAACAGCTTTCATTAGAATGACAAGTTTAGTATTCTGTAGTAAAAGAAGGTTTCTATGACAAGACTAATTCCTGATAAAACTGAACCCACACCCCTCTACCTCTTTGATTGTTCAGGTGCCATTTTTATTGGAAGGAGAGGAGGGTGTGCAGGAAAGTAATCACTGAAAAATAATTGCTGTCAGCCCATCATTTATTTATTGATTATTTTAAGAATGCAAAAGAAACAATAAGCCAGCACCGTCCTAAAATAATAGCACAATATCTATTTGATTTGATATCTGAAAGTGAAATCAAAACCTGAGTCTTTTTAAATGTTTTTTTAAAATTGATTTCAGAGAGAGGAAGGGAGACTGGGAGGGATAGAAACACCAATGATGAGAGAGAATCATGGATCCGCTGCCTCCTGCAGGCGCCCTAGTGGGGATCATGCCCACAACTCAGGCATGTGCCCTGACCAGGAATCAAACCATGATCTCCCGGTACATAGGTCGACACTCAACCACTGAGCCACACCGGCCGGGCTTGACCCACAATTTGTGTATAAGTCTATTCTTATACACATTTCTGTGATTTGGGTCAATATTGCAGGACTTGGGAGAGCTTGCTAATGAAATAATTATTTTGTAAAATGCAAAATTTAAATGATTGTGTATTCAGTTTGCTTAAAGAGTAGTTGTCTGACTGTTTTCAAAAACTGTGTATGCTATGCAGTTTACAGAGCGGGAAAAATATTAATCCACTCAGCAAACATGTAATGTGCGTGTGCATGCATGTGCATGTGTATTTCAGAGGGAGAAAGCTTTTCTTGCTGTCACTGACACCTTCTGGTTCTCCATCCTAGATATCGATGAATGTGCCTCTGGCGAAGCCGTCTGCCCCTACAATCGGAGATGTGTGAACACATTTGGAAGCTACTACTGCAAATGTCATGTTGGTTTCGAACTGAAATATGTCAGTGGCCGGTATGACTGTGTAGGTAAGATTTGGTAGCACCTTTTTCTTTTTCCCTATCCCCACCAAACATGTAGGCTTTCTCTACAACTACAGTGGGGCCTTGACTTACGAGTTTAATTCTTTCCGAGACCGAGCTCGTCAAAGAGCTCGTTAAGGAGCTCGTTAACTCAAATTACTCTATCAACTCAATGCAAAAAAATTGGGCAAGAGACAGCTGGCATCTCAAAAAACTCGTTAGTCGGGACACTCATAAGTCAAGGCCCCACTGTATTTCAATTCAGTCTATTAGTTGAACAATCTTGGGTACCAGCCAGCTGAACAACACAGAAACAGTTACATTTTTTACATGTCTGGCATTTAGGGAACTCTGACGCCATGAATTATTGGAAGTCAGGTCAGTGAAGATTTAAACTAAGGAACTTCAATCTGGATAGCTCTGTTATGGGGGCAAATATCTTGAGATATGTTTTGTGGCCTTTTTAAAAAAATATAAAATATGTTTTTACTAGAGGCCCAGTGCATGAATTCATGCACGGGTGGAGTCCCTCGGCCTGGTCAGCAATCGGGGTCGATTGGGGCAGCCAGCCAGGGGAGGGACCACAGGAGGTTGGCCAGCCGTTGGAGGTTGGCTGTGGGAGCACACTGACCACCAGGGAGCAGCTCCTGCATTGAGCGTCTGCCCCCTGGTGGTCAGTGCGTGTCATAGCTACCGTCCAGTCACTTAGGCTTTTATATATATAGATTGATTTCAGAGAGAGAAAAGGAAGAGGGAGATAGAAACATCAATGATAAGAGAGAATCATTAATTAGCTGCCTCCTTCATGCCTCACACTGGGGATGGAGCCTGCAACCCAGGCATGTGCCCTGACAGGGAATCGAACTGTGATCTCCTGGTTCATAGGTCAATGCTCAACTACTGAGCCATATCAGCCAGGCATTTTGTGGCCTTTTTTTTTTTAAAAAAAAAAAACTGTATGGTTTTGTTTTTAATTTTTCATTCTTTGTCCAGGTACATACCTGAAAATGGGAACAATATAGAAGTTTTTATATTTGATAAAAGGAAGAATAACAAGGCCTGTTTAATCTGGATCTCAGTGATCTGTTCATGGCAGTTTCCAGCAAGGGTGGCTTTGGAAAAATGGCTGAAGGAGATGAAGGCACGTGCTCTTGCCTCTCCTCCTTCAGCCCTTTCATGATTCCAGCTCCACATCCCTATAATGTTCCCTTCCAGGGTCACCGAAACCACTCTGCTCAGATTCTGGTATCAGTCAGCGGTGGGCCTGATCAGTGTGAAATAAAACCCTTATCCCCTGTGAAGGGATTCCAGGTCTCAATGAGCATGTGGAATGGGGCATCTGAGGAGCCCTTGGATGCATTCCCATGGCCCTGATATAACGTGGGGTCCTAGAGCAGTGGTCGGCAAACTCATTAGTCAACAGAGCCAGATATCAACAGTACAACAATTGAAATTTCTTTGGAGAGACAAATTTTTTAAACTGAAACTATATAGGTAGGTACATGGTGATTAACTTCATTAGGGGACTCCTAAGCTGGCCTTTGCTAAAAACGTCCTCAATCTGATGGAGGGACGTTCGCTGAGGTCGACCCCTTCCAACTCTCCCATCCACACTCGTCTTGTACACTTGTTTCATCTATCTCCTTTCCCAAAACCGACTTCTGCGCATGGGCCATGAAGTTTCAATCGCACTGTACGTGCGCGCCCGCACGTGGTATCTTGTGGAAGAGCCACACTCAAGGGGCCAAAGAGCCACATGTGGCTCGCGAGCCACGGTTTGCCGACCACTGTCCTGTAGTGAAGGGGAGTTCAGCCCCCTGTAGAATCCTAGTCACATGACATGTGTAGCAAATGTGCACATGACATGGAAAGCTAACGGTTGGGGGGAAAGTCAGAATTCATTCAACCCTGCATCCCAGGACGCATCCCGTGTGATCATGTTGGGGCAACACTCAATCCCTGGGTTTTGAACTGTCCTGTGAAGCTTCCACAGCTCTTCTGTCAGATCTTCTCAAACACAAAGACCACCCCAGACAGGCTTGTAAAGTCCCTGTTTCTCGTGGGCTTGGACCCAACGCCCTGCTGCAGACCCACCCAGCTCTGTAATGGGTGATGCCGTGTTACAGAGCAGAAGCCTGTTCCCTGATACCCACAAGGAGGTTCCACGGGACAGGCATGGAGAGCTTCCAAAGGAAAAAAATCTTTTTGTGATTTTAAAAGTGATTGAGGTTAGCCCTAGCTGGTTTGGCTCAGTGGATAGAGCATCAGCCTGAGGACTGAAGGGCCCTGGGTTTGATTCCGGTCAAGGGCACGTATCTTGGTTGCAGGCTCGATCCCTGGCCCTGGTCGGGGTGCATGTGGAAAACAACCAATTGATGTTTCTCTCTGTGTGTCTCTCCCTCTCCCTTCAACTCTCTCTAAAAATCAATGGAAAAATAAATAAATAAATAAATAAATGCCAAAAAAATCAATGGAAAAATATCCTCAGGTGAGGATTAACAACAACAAAAGTGATTGAGATTAGCCTCTGAACTCCTTTTGTGGCTAAATTAAGAACAGTAGACTATTTCGTGTGCATATGTCTACAAAAGCATAGCTAGAAAGCGGGCAGAGAAGCGGGCCAATGCACTTCTCACCTGGGTGGAATTTGGTCGACTTTCCTAGTCTAAATCCAGCAGACAAGCTCAGACCAGCCTGACCTTGCTCCTGGTAGTCTGCGGTCTTTGATCAAAATGCCTGTATATATGCAGATAATGTCGATGGTTCCTGGCCAGTCTTGTCCTTTGTTAGGAGTTCCAAACCCTTCCCTGTATAGAATGTATTTCCTGATATTGTGATTTAGTTCTAAATGAGACAGATGGGACATTTAAGAAAACAACCTACACATCTTACAAATTTCAGCAGGATGGATAAGCAGATGAGAATGCTGTGGGGTGGTAAGCTATAGACCAGTGATGGCAAACCTATGACATGCGTGTCAGAGGTGACACGCGAACTCATTTTTTTGGTTGATTTTTCTTTGTTAAATGGCATTTAAATATATAAGATAAATATCAAAAATATGTCTTTGTTTTACTATGGTTGCAAATATCAAAAAATTTCTATATGTAACATGGCACCGGAGTCAAGTTAGGGTTTTTCAAAATGCTGACACGCCGAGCTCAAAAGGTTCGCCATCACTGCTATAGACACATTCCCTACCTACCTGGTGTCAGGCTAGCTGGGGCTCCAGGCCAACGCACTGGAGATTATGAACACCTCACAGTTCTGTGGCCACACTTGGTTTGTTGGCGATGTTGATGGTTGGCCCAAGATGGTAGTCTTTCAGCATGCCCTGTTACTACAAGCTTGTTCACATTTTTAGATATAAATGAATGTGCTGTGAATACCCATACGTGCAGCCTCTACGCCAATTGCCTCAATACCCAAGGATCCTTCAAGTGCAAGTGCAAGCAGGGATATAAAGGCAGTGGACTTCAGTGTTCCGGTAAGTAGCATTTGGTCACGATGTCTTAGCTCTTCTGATGAAGCATTCTCTCCATGTCTCCTTCCTCCCTTCATCTGTTTGCCTGCAGTGTGTGAAATTTAACTCGGCCTCAGCCTTGTCTTCTCTGCTAATCGAACCACATCTCCAATACTCCAATACTGAAGTTGTAGGCACTACATTTATTTACTTACTTATTTGTTTATTTATTCATTCATTCATTTATTCATTTATTTATTTTTAATATAAATTTTTATTTATTTCAGAGAGGAAGGGGGAGAGAGAGAGAGATAGAAACATCAATGATGAGAGAGAATCATGGATCGGATGCCTCCTGCACACACCACACTGGAGATCCAGCCTGCAACCTGGGCTTGTGTCCTGACCAGGAATCGAACCATGACCTCCTGGTTCATAGGTCAACGCTCAACCATTGAGCCATGCCAGCTGGGGGCAAAGTGGGTATATAAAGAAATCTCAAATCTCCTCCAGAGAAATTGCCAACTTCATCTACAGGAGACTGTCTTGTGAATCTAAAAACCCTGGAATTCCTTGTTTTTATGTCTGAGATCCCCCAATGTGTCAAAGGCCCTCCTACTGCAACTTCCTCCTACATTTTTATATTCTCAAGAAGATGGTGCAATAATCAAGAAATTGTAACGTGAAAAAAATCAGTTATGTCAAATTTGAAACAGCAATACCCAGGTAAAGCCACATCTATCTATTCATGGTCATGCATATGCATGGGTTCCTTATCCTTGCCCCAGCTCCCTTTTTACATACTAAGGGAGTGAAATTGTTGGGAACACAAAGTTCGTAATGGCTTGATCTTTTTTTTCCAAAAGGAAAAAATCAAAACTTCAAAGCAGAAACTGAAAGCAGATGTTTCAGTTTGCCTGGTGTAGGTTGCAACCCTCTCCTCATTATTTATTAAAGGTCTTTAGTTTTATGTTACTGATTTGCATAAAGGATATTTCCAGGGAATGGGTGTTTCCTGTTAATTTTCGTGCTGGATCCTGGGAAGAGATTCAGGGAACCATGTGCAGAATTACACAGTGGGGCCTCCAGGGGAAGGTCTATATCTGATCAGCATATTACAGTCAAAACTTAGCATGCGACCTCCGGCAAAGAAGTCAAAACAGGCCATTTGAAGGTCAGGAAAATGAGTAATGATGCCTTACTTGTATTAGTAGTAGTTGATTTCGAACCTGTAATTATAGGCTGTCACATTGGTAAATAAGTAGGACATTTCATTGAATAGGGAAATGTAGCTCTTGTTATAACAGCCCTAGATTGATTTCAAAGTAAAAGCGATGTATTAAAAAAAGCAATGTAGTAATTAAGAGCATGTATATTTTCAAAGCATTTTTTCTTTCTCCTTTTGATTGCCCAAAGTATTGTGGACTTCTTGTTTATTTTTCTACCGCTTTGATACAGAGTGAATCAACCAAGTAATGGAGACGGAATTGAACAGAAGAGATTAAAACATTGCCAAGAAAAATGTTATTTCCAATTTCTTGTATAGTATTCTTTTCAGGGACTAAAGTTGATGTCTACTCCCTTATTTCATTTTCCTCTAAACTATATCCAAGTAGTTGAATTGAATAAATTGGTTCAGCTGTTATTAGTTTTAGAGCAGCACATGCCTAGATATTTTATAAAAGGACAATATATTTGATTTTAAAGATCAGTGTTTTAAATTTTTTAAAATATTTTTATTTCACTTTAGAGAGAGAGAAACATCAATAATGAGAGAGAATCATTGATCGGCTGCCTCCTGCACGCCCCGCACTGGGGATCGAGCCGGAAACCTGGGCATGTGCCCTAACTGGGAATCGAATTGTGACCTCCTAATTCAGTGGTTCTCAACCCCTTTGGCGGTCAAACGACCCTTTCACAGGGGTCGCCTAAGACCATCCTGCAGATCAGATATTTATATGACGATTCATAACAGTAGCAACATTACAGTTATGAAGTAGCAACGAAAATAATTTTATGGTTGGGTCACAACATGAGGAACTGTATTTAAAGGGCCAGCAGGTTGAGAACCACTGTAGTTCATAGGTCGATGCTTAACCACTGAGCCATGCTGGCTGGGCAGTGTTTTTAATCTTAAAAAATTACTTTTTTTTTACATTAGTTGGATATCTTTAATTGTCATGAGTAGATCCCTGAAAAGGAGGCATCCATCTTTGGGTTCTAGATTTCAAGGCATTTGAACCAGTCTAGAGAAAAGTAACCCTTAACCCTAAAGCAGGAATAAATCTGTCAGGGGAATAGGATTGGAAAAAAAGAATCATTCATCTGCTTCACCCTCAAATCCTAGCTCTGCCCCTTGGTATCTGAGTGACTTTGGGCAAGTCACTTAACATGACCCAGTTGCCTCATCTATAAAACAAAGTTGTTGGGCTAAACGATCTTTTTTTTCTACCTCTTGAGTTCGTCATTGACCCACCGGGGGCATGAGGAATCAATCTAGAGGTACATTTTTAAAACAATTTAATCCAGTGGTGAGAAACAGGAAATGAATGTAAGACAGCAAATGTAAAATCCTCTATAAATATTCAATAAATAGAATTATTTCACTTTAGATAGTAGTGGGTTGAGGTTAAGAAATTCAAAGCAGAGAGAGAACAGGGAAGAAAATTAGGTATATACACATTGAACCATAAAGCACCATTTTTATTGGTCACAAATGGCCCATTATTGACCATTTACCTGGTCCAGCCTAATGCTATAGCTGTAATCTTGGAACAGCAAATTTAGACAAATCGATAGGGCTACCTGGACGACCCCAGCTTTAAAGAATACCTGTGTGAAAGCAGAAATATGAGAGGACCCCGGAGGAATCCATCACCTTAGGACCTGTAGCCCAACTTGGTAGGAGCAGGTATTTCATCATCGTAGTCTCTGAAGCAAAACAAAAGTATGTCCTCTAAGGAAAGATAGTTAAGATACTACCATAACAGCCCTAACTGGTTTGGCTCAGTGGATAGAGCGTCAGCCCTCAGACTGAAGGGTCCTGGGTTTGATTCTGGTCAAGGACATGTACCTTGGTTGCAGGCTCGATCCCCAGTGGGGGTTGTACAGGAGGCAGCTGATGAATGTTTCTCTCTCATCATTGTTTCTGACTCTCAATCCCTCTCCCTTCCTCTCTATAAAAACCAATCTATAGTAATAAAAAGGTAATATGCTAATTAGACCAGAGGTCTTCCAGACGTCCTTCCAGACAAGGCCACAGCGGCTGCGAGGACCAAGGGCTGGCAGCGCGGAAGAGGCGGTGGCGCAGGAGAGGTGGTAGCGCAGGCTGGCCAGCACTGCGGCCCCTTCTGCAGAGGCGGCGGGAGAGGGGGCTGCGCGGTCCCGGTCCCAGTGATGCCCTTTCTGCAGAGGCAGCCACAGAGGCAGCGGCACCATGCCTCCATGGAGGCTGGACAGGGTGCAATCTGCTGTGCTTCAACCTCCCACAGTCCCTCCCCCAGCTGGCCTGGCCCCAGATTGCCCCCCACCCACCAGTGGATGGGGGGTGGGGCCAGCACTAAGAAGCGAGGGCCAAGGGCTGGCACCCGAGGCAGCCAGTGGCAGCAGCAGCAGGGTGATGGGGGCGGCGCCTTCCCCTGATCGGCCCAGTTGCCTCCCTCAGAGGGAGGCCAGACTACAGACTACAGCTTAGGCCTACTCCCCAAGGGAGGGTAGTGGGCCTAAGCCGTCAGTAGGACATCCCCTGAGGGTTCCCAGACTGTGAGAGGGGGCAGGCCTGGCTGAGGGACCGCCCCCTCCAGTGCACAAATTTTTGTGCACCGGGTCTCTAGTAAAATATTTTTAAAAAGATGCTACCATAACATAACTGCTTAAAACAGATGCACGTATAGTTCTTCTGAAAATATCAACTGGTAGAGCCTCCTGTGGGTTGATTCTGAAAGTATTCATTTCCAGCACTTGAACACTTTTCAAATGCTCTGTTGTTGTGTGAGTTATCTAATTATCGGCCAAGGTGGAACTTCTCGCCTGTTATTGTTTGTTGCAGTTATCCCTGAAAAGTCTGCGAAGGAAGTCCTCAGAGCACCTGGTACCATCAAAGACAGAATCAAGAAGTTGCTTGCTCACAAAAACAGCATGAAAAAGAAGGTGAAAATAAAAAACACCATCGTAGAACCTGCTGGGACTCCTGCCCCGAAGGGTAACTTGCGGCCCTTTGACTCTGAAGAGAGTGTTTCCAGAGATGGGAGCCCAAATGGAGGGGAAAAGGGGAATGAGGAGAGAAAGAGAGAGGGGCTGGAGGAAGAGAAAAGAGATGAGACAGCCCTGAAGAACCACGTGGAGCAGGAACGAAGCCTTCGAGGAGATGTGTTTTGTGAGTATCACTTCTGTTATTTTACACATCTTGTGAAAAATGAGTTGTGATCTCTCTGGGACATGAACGAAGAAAAGACAGTTTCACTCATTAAGTGAAATGGGTTTGGCTCTAAGTCCTAAAAAGCAGGGTGCTCTCTAAGTCTGGAAAGTAACATCTTCTGCGGATACGCAATCAAATTTGCTCCTGTGGGCAACAAGAAGTCTGGGTCCTTTCCCCTTGCCTTGGGGGGCGGGAGTCCTGTTTGACACAGACCCTCCCATTCCACTCGAAGCAAAGTCAGCCTGCTTGTCCAGCAAGCACAGTTGTCTGTCCGGCTGCCCAGACCTCCATGCAGTTCAACCCCAAACCAGGGAGACCCTTACCAGACAGATCTGCCAAACCCTACATTTTTCCTTCTCGAAGGTACCTTTTACAGGCCCACTCAGTGAAAGGAGAATTTCACGGTTGTGTGGTTATTGTTTTAAAAGCCAAAGTAGACAGTTGTAGGGAAGAAAATGTTAAAAGTAGAGCATAAGCTTTAGTTTTCTCCATGAACTGGATGACTACAGAACCCACCAGAAGTCCCAGCTCATACAGGACGGTTTCCCTATTAACTTGCCCTGAACCCCCACACTGAGACTTTCCATTTCATTCTCACTGGGCATCTGTTGCTCCCTCTATATTTTGCCTTGTCTGTTCTTGGTTCTGTGGCCATTGGATTTAACCACGTGAGGAACAGACCCAGGACCACCCATCCAGGACCTAGTGTGCCAATGACAACATCTCCCCTAATAGAGAGTGAGAATCTCACAAAAGTGTATTTCCAAAACCTGGTGAGAAGGGACATGTTACATCCCCCTACCTTGCTGCTTCTCTGTTGATTATTTTAAAAAGTCTTAGATTAAAGTGATTATAACTTATTAGGAAATATTTGTCAACACATGTAAACAATAACATGCCAGATAGTTTCTGAATATGTGAATCAATACGTTAAGGAAAATAACTGCTACTACAAACTACCAAAATCTGAATATATCAAAATAATTCCCTTTCAACTGTATAGTTTTCTATTAAATATTCACAGGGAATATTAAATTTCTTCCAGCCAGTTTTTTTTAAAAAATAATTTTTATTGATTTCAGAGAAGAAGGGAGAGGGAGAAAGAGATAGAAACATCAATGATAAGAGAGAATCATCCATAGGCTGCCTCCTGCACGCCCCCCCTACCCCCACTGGGGATGGCGCCCATAACCCAGGCATGTGCCCTGACCGGGAATCGAACCGTGACCTCCTGGTTCATAGGTTGACTCTCAACCACTGAGCCACACTGGCTGGGCAAGCAGTTTTTTAAAGAAACTCACATTCTTTAATTTTTGCTTTTTATTTATTTAAATGGGAATTCAAGAATTTCTTCTTAAACTTTGCCCTTCTCAGCTTCACAGGGCTTTCCAGATTCGTTTAGGTGTTAGAGTGACCCTGTTTTCTCTGAACATAGCTCACTCAGCATGGATACCTGGCATCTGGAAGATAACATCTATTCCTACTACTCAGTGTCAAAGCCAGTTCCCGTGCAATAGGGTCATATGAGTTAGTCCTCTTTAATAGCTGTTCAATGGTTTGATTATATCATTGTTTTGAACATTTTGAAGTAATTTTTTATTCCCTCTCCATTATTAGATCACTTTTGAAGCAGAGCGTGGCAAGGGCAAAAACCGAAGAAATTGCTGTAGATGGTGTCATGCTGGTGTCAGGCTAATGTCCTGGTGGCCTTTTTATCAGTGGATGCTGGAATGTTACTGTTGTCTTTTATATCCTTATATTTGACTTTTAATGTCAGTTCTCTGTTTTTTTATATATATTATGTCACAGATGCCCCTCCATTTAAAAAATACGAACTGAAAAATTGTAATGTACCAATAGAAACATTATTGTAAGCTGCCTTTCTTGTATAGATGCCTCGTTATTTGCTTTAAATTCATTTCTGAATTGATAAAATGTGGAAATGTCAGTTTAGCTTTTCCCCCCAATAAATTTTATCTGTCTATATGAGTTGATGAACCTCTCTGTACAACACTTCTGGAATTTTAAAAAAAAAGCACAGAGAAATGTTTAATTGTGTGACTTTTTTGGCACTTCTTGGAAACCATGACATCACAGATAGACTTTTACCTAAGTTGCTTAACCTGATCTTTTATAGCCGAACTTGTATGTTTAAATTCTTTGTACTAATATCCAAATAATCACCTTGTGTCACGGTTTGTTTTTCTAAGTAAAAAAATGTGCTAATTTGATTTTATGTTTAGCTATGTGCATGATTATTTGCTTTGTGGAAATATGGTTTTTATTCTTTTCTCTATGGAAATACTTTATTTTCTTAAAAGTACTTTCTATTATGGGAACACATGGCTGCTTTATTAGGCTTCATAATTGCAATGCAAATTAGCATACATTGTTGAGTTCAAGACCTCTGAGAACCTAAAACTAAGTTAAGCAAGTAGCAGGACTAGAAAAAAAGATGGATACCCTCTTTTCTATTTCTCTTTTCTTCCAAATCCAATAACAGCTTTGTATGGTAATGAATCCTGAGTGAATTCTCTGAGGATGAAAGGATACTCTGCTTTAAGATTCTCAGTCACAAATAGCTCCAAGATACCCCCCAAATAGAAGGTTCTCCAGATATTTTCTTGCCCTCCCCTAAAAGCAATGAAGGCATTGGGCCATAAGAGTAAGGAAAGAGAGAAGGTGGCCCACTTATTAATCTTTAAAATTTGTAGTCTCACTCTTCAAGTTTTTTATATTGAAACTCTTGTAGGGTGGGGGGTAGGGGAACACATTGTTTTTCTTTAGTGTGAAGTAATCTTGGCACACAAGGGTCTACACAAGACTGTAGCTATATCTGTTTGAGAACTGGTAGTTATAGAAATCCTCAAAACAGTTTTTCTAGTGAGACCAGTCGAAAACCTGCCCCAGCTACATCAAATCAGCCCACAGAATTGTAAGAGAGAATAAAATGGTTATTTTAAGACATTAAAATTTGGAGTGGAAAAAAAATTTGGAGTGGTTTGTTTCACAGCAAAAGCTAACTGATACATGTGGTTTCAAATACTGCAGTAGAATCTGAAGAAGACTTTCTATCCATTCAGTGATCAAGGAAATTTGAGACCATAGTTGTGGCTTAGAATAAAGAAAGATAGGGGGGAGCATTTGTAATAAAAGACAGTGTCCCAGTGATCCAGATTAAAGGAAGAGATGTGCGCTAGCCAGTTTGGCTCAGTGGATAGAGTGTCAGCCTGCAGACTGAAGGGTCCTAGGTCCAATTCTGGTCAAGGGCACATGCCTGGGTTGCAGGCTCTATCCCCAGTAGGGGATGTGCAAGAGGCAGCCAATCAATGATTCTCATCATTGATGTTTCTATCTCTCCCTCTCCCTTCCTCTCTGAAATCAATAAAAATGTATTTTAAAAAATGAAGGAAGAGATGTTGAACCAAAAATGAAATAGGAAGACATATGAATCATGTTATACATGGATAAAAATAATGCATAAATCTAATATTTCATGTTTCTCTAATATTTGTAGCAGAGACTTCTAGTTACCTATCCAGTATCCATTCTCACCCTTTCCCTTACTAATGTAAGCATATATAAATATATTTGGGAGACCCCTATCTGGTTTGGCTCTGTGGATAAGAGCATCGGCCTACAGACTGAAGGGTCCCAGGTTTGATTCCAGCCAAGGGCACATGCCTAGATTGTGGGCTTGATCCCCAGTAGGGGGCGTGCAGGAGGCAGCCAATCAATGATTCTCATCATTGATGTTTCTATCTCTCTCTCCCTCTCCCTTCCTCTCTAAAATCAATAAAAATATATGGAGAACCAAGATGGCGGCATAGGTTAACGCCGGAGTTTGCTGCTTTGAACAACTACTTCAAAAGTGAAACCAAAAAACGGAAGGGACATCACCCAGAACCACAGGAACGCCTGAGTGGAAGTCCTACAACTAGGAGGAAAGAGAAACGCATACGGACACTCAGAGGAGGCGCAGTGCTGAAGTCAAATTCTGAGGTGCGGAGTGCGCGGAGCGGGCTGGCGGCGGAGGGCGCGGTTGGCGTATTCAATCGGGAGGGAGTCGCAGACTCTGAGCTCCAGATCTGGGCGAGTCTTTAGGGACCCAGACTCAAACGGAAGAAGCGGGACTGTCTGGCTTCGGTCAGAGCGAGTGCAGCTTTCTCTCTGAGCTTTGCAGCGGGTGCTGGGACTCAGAGAGGCAGAGCCCCTGGGGACAGGACTGAGAGCTGCCATAACTGCTCTCTCCGGCCCACCCTGTTGATCCTGTGCGACCCGCCCCGCCCAAGCCCTGCACACAGGCATTTGCTGGATAGCCTCAGGCAAACGCCAGATTAGCACCTCCCTAGAGGACAGAAGTTCTCTCACTGCTGACACAGCTGATTCTCATAGCCACTTGGCCTGGAGGTCAAACCCTCCCTGGAATTAGCTACAACAATCAAGATTTAATTATAAGACTGTGAACAAAGACCACTAGGGGGTGCACCAAGGAAGCATAACAAAATGCGGAGACAAAGAAACAGGATAAAATTGTCAATGGAAGATATAGAGTTCAGAACCACACTTTTAAGGTCTCTCAAGAACTGTTTAGAAGCCGCCGATAAACTTAATGAGATCTACAAGAAAACTAATAAGACCCTCGATCTTATATTGGGGAACCAACTAGAAATTAAGCATACACGGACTGAAATAACGAATATTATACAGACTCCCGACAGCAGACCAGAGGAGCGCAAGAATCAAGTCAATGATTTGAAATGCGAGGAAGCAAAAAACACCCAACCGGAAAAGCAAAATGAAAAAAGAATCCAAAAATGCGAGGATAGTGTAAGGAGCCTCTGGGACAGCTTCAAGCGTACCAACATCAGAATTATAGGGGTGCCAGAAGATGAGAGAGAGCAAGATATTGAAAACCTATTTGAAGAAATAATGACAGAAAACTTCCCCCACCTGGTGAAAGAAATGGACTTACAGGTCCAAGAAGCGCGGAGAACCCCAAACAAAAGGAATCCAAAGAGGACCACACCAAGACACATCATCATTAAAATGCCAAGAGCAAAAGATAAAGAGAGAATCTTAAAAACAGCAAGAGAAAGAAAGTCAGTTACCTACAAGGGAATACCCATACGACTGTCAGCTGATTTCTCAACAGAAACTTTGCAGGCCAGAAGGGAGTGGCAAGAAATATTCAAAGTGATGAATACCAACAACCTACAACCAAGATTACTTTATCCAGCAAAGCTATCATTCAGAATTGACGGTCAGATAAAGAGCTTCACAGATAAGGAAAAGCCAAAGGAGTTCATCACCACCAAACCAGGATTATATGAAATGCTGAAAGGTATCCTTTAAGAAGAGGAAGAGGAAGAAAAAGGTAAAGATACAAATTATGAACAACAAATATGCATCTATCAACAAGTGAATCTAAGAATCAAGTGAATAAATAATCTGATGAACAGAATGAACTGTTGATTATAATAGAATCAGGGACATAGAAAGGGAATGGACTGACTATTCTTGGGGGGGAAAGGGGTGTGGGAGATTCGGGAAGAGACTGGACAAAAATTGTGCACCTATGGATGAGGACAGTGGGTGGGGAGTGAGGGCGGAGGGTGGGGCGGGAACTGGGAGGAGGGGAGTTATGGGGGGAAAAAAAGAGGAACAAATGTAATAATCTGAACAATAAAGATTTAATTAAAAAAAATAAAATAAAATAAAAATATATTTTAAAATATATATATTTGGGGGTTAGAGGGCATTATACTCAACTAAAGGACTGCATTTCTCAAAATCTCTTTCAGTTGGAGGAGGCCACTGAAGCATTGGTAGGCTTCCAGGAAGGATCATTAAAGAGGGCTCTCAGCTGGCAGCACACTTTGCCATCTCTCTTCTTCCTTCTTCCCACCTTCAATGTGGTTGTGAAGGCAGCTACTCTATGAGGTACTTCGTGATCCTGAGGGCAAGGACCACACCCTATAACAGAGTGCATAGCTGGAGGAAGCCTGGATCACTGACGACATTATGGCGTCTCTACAGCTGCGCAGACTGGTCACTGCTCAGTATTTTATTAAGTGAAAGAAAAAATATCCTTTGTTGGCCTACCTAGGATTTCAAACAAAGCACAATCCAGACTCAGGTGACCACTCTCCCTGCTCCCTGGGGGCTACTTCTGCCATTTTCACCACAAGACCACAGTCTTGGGGATTAACTTTTTAGACCCTTAAATACCAATACATTGGCACTCTCCCTTCCTGGAGCATGCCCATGCCTTTCCCTTTCCTCCCCCCATCCCTTCCTCATTCCCAAGCCCCAAGAGCCCTTCCTACCTCTATAACATGTTTCCTACACCCATTTCTTCTAGGAATTATTTCTTTTTAAAAATACATATTTTTATTGATTTCAGAGAAAAAAGGAAGGGAGAGAGAGAGACATCAGTGATGAGAGAGAATCATGGATCGGTTGCCTCCTGCACGCCCCCTACTGGGGATCGAGCCCGCAACCCAGCCATGTGCCCTGACTGAGAATCAAACCGTGACCTCCTGGTTCATAGGTCAATGCTCAACCATTGAGCCACAGGAATAGGAATTATTTCTACTCCTGTGATTTACCAAATAAATATTCTCATACAGTTAAATAAATACATAAACAAACAAACAAAATACCAACATATTGTTTTAAATTCCAATCAACAGCCTGTAGTGTCATGGAGCTCTAACCTGCACCCGCACCGAATCATACTTTGCTTCCTTTGGGGAAATCTAAGGTCAGCTAATTCCGCCATGACTCCCATATCTGTTGACCCTGGCCATGATCCAATGTGCAAACCCCCCATGTCATCCACGCTCTCGCACTGTCTCACCCCAACACTGTTATGAGCTTCCTCTTCTGGTCACTAACTCCCACTGTTTCTGTCCCCTCCCCCATCACACATACTCCACAGTCTGGTAAACAAACTCTGCTACATCTTAATTCATGCCAGCGATGTCTTCCTCCGTCTCTCAGCCTTAGCTGAACTGAGCTCTCTCCCATAGCCACTTCTACCCCTGTAGCTTGATCAAATGGCTGCCACTCATCCTCCCACAGTGCACACATATCGGGGTCTGGAGTTGAAGGTGCCATTCTCCTCGCCCTACTCTTGTTTACAGTCTCTTATTTCTTGATTTCCATGTAAAAGCCACTGCTCATTGGAGGTGCCATTAAGTAGCTCTCCAGCCCGCTGT